TCAGTTGGTAGAGTACTTGCCTTGCATGCATAAGGTCCTGGGTTCAATCCCTAGCATCACAAAAAAATGCACATAATTTAAAAACCAAATATTATCAAAAGATTTAAAATAAAAAAACAGGCACCCTCTATACTTCTCCTTCCAATTCTGTTTTGGAGGGCTAATGGCTTCTTTACTCTTTCATTGCTTCTGCTGAAACTATCTCTGTGATTCTAAGTACCAGGCTCACAGCCCTAAGTCTTGGCTTACTGCTTTCGGATTGTATTACTTTACTTTAGATTGTATTCCTATTTTACCCGATGAGGATGTAGCCTTCTTAAATCCCCCCGCTGCCATGCAATCTGTCAGTTCTGCCTTGCTAACATACATAGGAGATAAACCAGTAATGAAAATGTGCATTATCATGAGTAAGTAAATATTTTTCTTCACAATTTCAAGTACAGTCATGTGTAGCTCAATGGTGTAGGTACACTCTGAGGAATGTGAGATGAAGTGATTTCACCACCATACAAACATCATAGTGTGTACCTCTACAAACCTAGACAGACAACCTGTCATTCCTGGGCTACAAACCTGTACAGCAAGTTACTGATAATGGGGGCATTGTGACAATGGCATTTGGGTATCTAGACATATGTAAACATAGAAAAGGTACAGTAAGAATACAAGATAAAAGGTTAAAAATGGCACACTGTATAGGGCACTTAGCCTGAGCAGAGCTGGCTGGACAGGAAGTTGTTCTGAGTGAGTTAGTAAGTGAATGGTGTGAAGGACTAGGCCGCCTCTGCACACAGCCACAGACTGCGGAAACACGGAGCTTAGGCCATTAGAAATTTTTAACTATTTCTTCAACAATCAGGTAAATTTAGCTGGATGTAACTTTTTTACTTTATAAACTTTGCTTTTATTTTTAAGACTCTTGTCTTTAGCTTAAAATACAAACACATTGTATAGCTGTACAAACATTTTTCTTTATTTCTTATTCTATAAGACTTTTTCATAATTATTTTGTAAATTTTTAAACTTTTTTATTAAAAAAAAATAAGACACAAACACACACATTCGCCTGGCCTAACCAGGGTCAGGATCAGCAATGTCACTGTCTTCTTTCTCTTTCACTTCTTGCCCCCTGGAAGGTGTCCACGGGTGACAAGACACATGGAACTGTCGCCTCCTATGATGGCAATGCCTCCTTCTGCAACACCTTCTGAAGGACCTGCCTGAGGGCCTTCTTGGGGACGTGTCACTCTTTTCAAAAATATCCTCATGATGATTTGCTTGCTCTGTTTTCGTTTTTTTTAACATCACAGATTTTCTTATTTGCAGATAATGTACCATGAATATTCTTGCCTAATAAAAATGTTTCTGAGGTGAGATCCATGTTTTCAAGCTTCTTCGTGAGCTTGGGTAGTTCTGCAAAATCTTCTGCTAAATGTCTCACTGTGACTTTTCTTGGGGGTTCTTCTTTTTCTCCTCCTGCACTTTCCTTTCCTCTTTGCCTCTCCAGCCAACCTTGCTCCAGTTTCAATGACTAGTCAGTCAGTTCTCAGGAACCACCTCCAGATGCTCCTCGGCCTCATCTTCATCCACACCCAGCTTGAGGTTGTTTTCCAGCTCAACCACAGCCTGGCAGATTGTTGCAACCTCCTCGTCCTTGGTAATCCATTGATGTCATTCACAAACCTCTCAAATGTCTTGTTCCTGATGCCATTCGATGACATCACCCCAAGCCCAATCAAAGTTCCTGATCCAGTCAGAGATGCTGTAATTCTTCACAGATTGCACTATTGTCTTCTCAGCACCTTCTCGGTTGCAACAGTAGCCTGGGAAAAGGTCCTGAACATAGTAGACCTTAAAACCTGCAATAAATCCTGGATTCATTTGTTGAATCAAAGAGGTGGTATTTGGAGGGAGAACCACCACTTTGATGTTGGGATTAAGAACATCAATAAAAGAAGGATGTGCAGGAGCATTATCAACCAGCAAAAATCTTGAAATGTATATTAATTCTCAAAAGAGTTCCTCATTTATCTGGCAATTAGGGTGCCAAGCAGGAAGAAGAGCTGGGTCATCCCTGTCTTCTCTTGCTTCTGTAGACAGCTGTGCTTAGTGATAAGCTTGAAGGTCTGGGGTTTTCACTCTGCCAGATCACAAAAGGTTTCACTTTGTAGTTTTCAACATGGTCCCCAAGCAAGACTATCATCATCCTCAGAAGCCTTCAAATCTGATATCAACCTAACCTCCCCATGCCAAGCTTTATCCAGGAACATGAGAGAAATGCAGAATCGCAATCCAGCTGCAACCAACAGCCTCAGGATCTGCATTTTCATGAATTCCCAGGGAATGCACATGTCTATTAAAGGTTGGAGAAGTAGCCACAAGAGCCAGGCAGACCAAGACACAACTCTGCTCAAAGTCAGCAAGGAACTCTCCTCAGGAAGGCATGATGGAGAAGTATCACCACTGTGTCTCTCTGATTTGCCGTGTTCACAAAAAAGGAACTCAGGGTCACCCCCTCAGTTGTCCTCAGTGGTGTATGGAGGAAGAATGGTCTTGAAGAATGTGGGGCTGTAGTGGGGTTTCAGAGATGACCAGAGCTTTCATACAACATCCTAGGATGCTCTCGTCTCCCTTACCAGGAATTCTTTATTGGATGTCAATCATCACATCTCAAATATCCCAGATGGCAGTTGCATCTCAAAGGCACCCAAACCCCTGACATCTCTTTCTGATTTTAAGTTAAGGAAAATTTATTTACTTTCTTGCTTGCCAGTTTTTTCAAGTGAACATATTTTTTCATGCCTCACAGGACAGTTGTCATAATTAATGCCCATAAAGGACCTTGAGATAAAAAGGAGTTCTTGTTATAGGTACATCTCATTGCTATTTCTTTCAAATTCCTTTCTGAGAGACTCAGTGTGGAAAGATTAGACGTATTCTTGAGGTTTCTGATATCGCACAAATATTTGTTCTTTGAATCTATTGTGAATGGCACCAAGGTTTGTGATTTACATCTTGTTCTGCTGACTACATCCTGCTGGCCATATCCAGTGTTATCTCAGGTATATCTAGTGTCAAATGAGCACATGGTAAATGAAACGGGAGTCTAATGCATTCCACTGCTTCAGAGGAGGTGTGGTCAGCCTTCTCCACCTGAAGATGCCTGTCGCACTCCAGATGAGATGCCCACACCAGGCGTCTGGGTTTAAGGAATGTCAGTTTGTGGTTCTGAAAATATGGAAGGCACAATCTTTACCGAATGGCAAAGAAATGGTCCCTCAAAGCTGTACCAGGAAGCATTTCCTTTCCTCTGTCTTGTTTGTGTTACACCTGGAGAAAGCACATCCTTGCTGTTCACTATTGGGTGTCCCCAGTGGGCACATCTGGAATCAAATGAATGTACTGCCACAGTCACTTTGTTAACTGAAGATTAAAACCCAAATAGCAGAACAAATGCTTCTGCCTTCTTAAAAAAAAAAAAAAAAAAAAAAAAAAAAAAAAAACAACAACCCTGCTTGAAGATGTAGGATTGTGGTAATATTCCCAGGAAAAGCGAGACGGAGGCCCCTGCTGCTGCACAAGGCTTCCATGTGCCTTCGGAGTCTTTTAAAAGCTCCTGGTCCAGCCGTCTAACATGAAACTGTCAGAAGGACACTGTCCATTGAGTCCGACCCTCTGGACATCTTTAAATCCCAGAATTGATAATAAGATTCTCTCAGCTTCTTGGCAACAGTGCCTTTCTGGAGATGGTTGTTTTTATGAAGTTGTCTCCTTTCACGGTTCCTTTTCTTGTTCATTCCTTCCTTTTTTCTTTCTTTCTTTCTTTCTTTTTTCACAAAATAACAATAAATGTGTCCCCTTTGGATGATCCAAACAAAAATTTCCGACTGTTGGATGCACCATTTTTGTGACAGAATGTCCCTGCGTATGCACTGTTCTATGAACTGAAGTCCACAGGTCCCTATAAGTGACAAGGGACACTTACTGCCTTGTGTTTCAAGAGCCTCAATGTTACTGCTTTGACAAAGGACATGGTGTGGGTCGGTCGAGTTGTCCTTTGCTTTGAATTCTTTCTTCATTTTTCTTTTTCTTCTTTTAAACCTCTTTGGTCATCTTTTACGGTAGAAAATCTGATTTGTTAGTAGGAACTCGGAGCTAGTTAAGGATTCAGAGGATTATCCTACAGCAAATTTAAAAGGTCAGTATATAAAAATATGTATTTGAAAGCCAGTTGAGGCTTGTCTTTTGCAAGCAGACTGGAGTTTTGCCTCCCTGGCCCTGCTTTTGACTTTCAGGAACACCTCTGAATTTCTATCCATTCTAATTCAATACAGCAAGAAAAATGTTACCTTTAAAAAATTACCTTTTTTATTGATTTTTTTTATCATGGTTAGGAAAGTGCTCTCTCTCTCTCCCTATTCTCATTCACAATGCCCAAAAGAGAAAATAAACACAGCAAGATGGCATAAAAATGCCATCTCTCTATTTACTGCCCTTCACTTTGTCCCAGGAAAGCAGACATATCGGGGGTCACTTGGTCTAGGCTGGCCCTCCTGGCTGCCTGGGTATCGCCAGGAGGTACCAATGAGCTTTCTGAAGTGCCTGGCCTGGGAGTTCCAGTTTACTTGGGTCACAGCCTTCTCTCAGGCACCTGCATATGGGCATCTTGAGTAACAGAATCACCTGTCCCACTCAAGCACACTTGCTGGGGAGTCAGGAGAATTCAGCCCAGAGCCAAGGAGCTGAGCATAGCCCATGACAGCCCAGCCCCTCCATCCCCCAACCTTGCCTGGCCAGCGTTTCTTCCTCCTTATTAGTATAAATGAGTCTTTCCTTCATTATGGAGAGAGGGCAGCTATTATTAGAAAGATACTTCACAGACTGCCTCGGGCGAGGGATGACTTGAGCCTCTTCCAGCCGGGAGAGGCAGAGTCCTCAGATACCCTGACAAATTAGCAACCTGTTCTAGTTCACATCTACAATGAGTGCCCAAGCAAATGGAAACTTCTATATCTATTTCTTGCTGCTCTTTTGTGAAATGGAAACACCTCACAGAACATATTTGAGAGATCAAGACTGTGAGTTTCTTCTGCAGTATCTTCATGTATCTATCACAGATACATCTCCAGTGAATAAAGCTTTTGAGAACACATCACAGCTGTTTCTTCTTAAATCCCTTTTCTCCCCAGCATACAAACTAGATGGCTGAGTCAGTTGTTTTATGGGAAATAATGATTACTCTCTGCCAGAACCTAGGAGTAAAGGAAAAGAATTTTTAAGTTAGAAGACACTCGATTCCAGATTTTGCTGACTAATTTTCTCACTACTCTCATTCAGTTGCTTGTCTGCTGTGGAAATGGGTTTCTAAACCGAAAAGAAAGAATATAAAGCGTGACAGTGACAGAACATGTTTCCCAGGCAGCATTTTGCAATGGAACAATCATTTGCAAAGGTCTCCTCTCCAGCTAGAACATCTCCACTCTCTGCCTCTCAACCCTCAAGTGTGAAAATGCTCCTGGACTCACCCTATTTGCACCTCTTCAATAGGAAGAGGCCACTGTGTGTCGAGGAGAGCACACTGAGGACTGTCTCTGTGCTCAGATTACAGAGTAGAAAAGCAAGAACTGTTATTGATGTCACTATTGCTTACAGTGTGCATACTGTTGGTTAATTGCATAGAGACACAATCCAGCATTTACCTGGGAAGCATGTAAAACTCCATTCATCCGTCACAACATTCCTTAAATATAATCTGTCCATCCCCTGTTCCAGCCAACACATGCACCTGCGTGAGTGTGCTCACACTCACAAACTAGTTCAAAAGTTAATAGATAAACCTGAATGAACAGAAAGTGCCCTCTTTCATCTTAAATGGCATTTAGATTTGATATGTTCACATTCTCACTGTGAATTTTTTTCAAGTCACACATTCTATTGGTTTTGGAAGTTCCTTGGAACCATGGTAAGACATCAGGCTGGGATTTAGTTCTGTTCAAACTTATTCAAAACATCTTTCTGGAATCTCAATTTTCTCATCTCTAAAATGGGACCACATAAGATCTGCACCATCTACTTTATTGAGGTCCTGGTGAAGACGTATGAGACAATGATTTTAAATGTTTCTATGATAATTTTTAAATCATATTCCAATATTGTTAAGATTATATGGCTCTTTTGAGAGAGTTTAGAGTAGGAGGATCTTATATACTTGACAGTCCATCTACTAAATCCTCAAAGTAATAGACATTAAAATGATTGACCTAGTGATTCATATTCTCTATCTGAATAATAATTGTTTCTTTCCTAATGGATATGAAATAAAAGTATATACCATATTTCTCTTCATTTAGCAATAATAACCGCTTGTAAGTCTTCAAAGGAAAAGCAGGTAGTTTTAATCTGTTATGAGAAAAAAAAATTTTAATGAGGTCATTTGTCCAAAGTAATTCATAAGTCATCCTGGAATTAAAATCTGTGCTATTTGGAGTTTGATTTTTTGACAATCCCAGTGGCCCATTAAAAAGCTCACTGATGTATTCTTTATGATAGAGGTTGAACAGAGAACCAGGATTTCACAGAAGATGTCCAGCTCAGAACTCTGCACCCTAGAGCCTGTGTGTCCTCCAGGCTGGGCCAAGTGAAATTGCTCTCGCTTCTGCTCAGACTACATGGCCGTCAGGGTTTTGTCAGAGAAACTGGCCTTTTAAGGAAGAAGAGGTTTGAAACAGGAAGTAGAGCTTATATGGCTGTTGGAAGGGCACCTGGGCAAAAGCAAGGAAGTAACAGGGATGCACACACACGTACCCATGGTGCATCACCACAGGCCTCTAGAAACCCCCATTGTGTTAGAGGGAAGAAAGCAGCAACAATGTCAAATACCCACGATGACAGCTCATCTTTTTTAAATGCTTGTTCATTTTAGACCGAAGCATATTGACTGCAAGATAAACCCAGATTCAGTTAACATTGAGTGAATGTTTATGGTGTGCTTTCTAAATTCCAGGCAAGTTTCTAAGCCTGGGAGATGGAATAAAGAAGGCGTTGTAAAAATCCCAACCACTAGGAAGCTAATTTCCATTACAGGAAGTCAGATAACAAGCAAATAGATATATCAAATGTCAAGTGGGGATATGTGCCAGGGGAAAATAATAGGAAAATTATAGGAAGAAGAGCAGGAGAGGGAGGGTGACCAGGGTGGCTTTGGGGATATTTTGTAGAGGGAAGTCAGGGTGACATTGAAGAAGTGAGAACTTAGAGCTGTGGGTATGAGATAGAGCAGCAGCCTACATAAGAGGCCCCAGAGGGGACAGCACCTACCACACCCAAGGGCAGTAGAAGTGGGAGCCTTGTAAGCAGTAGGCCAAGGTGTGGCTGGAGGAATACACCTGCTTGCAGAGCATCATGAGGACTTTGTGTTTTATTCTGAGTAAGATGGAAGGCACTGAGGGGTTGAAGAAGAGAAAAGAAAGGGATCTGAAAAATAATGAAGGATTGCACTGACTATCAAGTGGAAAGCAGAACCTAGCAGGCAGAAGGATGCAGGGATATGGGTAAGAAATAGAAAAGAGAGACGCCATCTTGGACCAAAATGGTGGTTTGGCAGGAGCAGAGTCCTGTTCTTGGTGTTTCTGAAGGCAGGGAGATGGGATTTGGACAGCCAGGCAGACATGGAGGCAGGGCTGGTATTTTAGTCATCTTTTTTCACCAGTGTGACCAAAAGATCAGATAAAAACAATATAGAAGAGGAAATGCTTATTTGGGGGCTCACAGTTTCAGAGGTCTCAGTCCACAGATGGCAAACTCCATTGCTTTGGGCCCAAGGTGAGGCAAAACATCATGGGGAAAGACTGTGGAAGAGTAAAGCAGCTCAGGCCATGGGGATGGGAATGCAGAGAAAGCTCTGCTCACATCCTAAAGGCACCACCCCAGGGACCCTCCTCCTCTGGCCATATCTCACCTGCCTTCAGTTATTACCCAGTTAATCCATGCAAGTGGATTAATGAACTGATTGGGTTAAGGCAATCATAACACAATCATCTCACCTCTAAGCTTTCTTGTACTATCTCACACATGAGTTTTGGGAAGACATCTCATATCTAAACCATAGCAGTTGGCCTTAAGTGTGAGAATCTCAGGAAGCACATGCATCCTGAGCATGCTTCAGTGCTGTCCTGTGTCAGCTTGAAATCTTGATTCATTTTTAAACAAGAGGCTTGTATTAGTTTGCCATAATATATCAGACCAAGAGCTTAAACAGAAGTTTATTCTCCCTCTGTTTGGGGGGTTGGAAGTCTGAAATCAGGTGTCAACAGGCTAGGTTTCCTCTGAGGACCATCTCCCCGGCTTGTAGATGGCTGTTTCTATTTCCTCACATGGTGATTCCTCTGAGCATGTCTCTGTCCTGATCTCCTCTTATAAGGATATGAACCATATTGGGTTAGGGCCACTTCTACAACCTCGTTTTACCTTTATTGGCTCTATTTCCAAATACAACCACATTCTGAAATACTGGGACATTTTTAATTTTGCAAGGACGCTATTCAACTTGTAGCCAGGGAGGGATGTCCATTTTCACTCTGCTCCAAGGATTCTGCCAGGACAGCTGCAAGGATGGAGTTGCTGATAATGAACTTGGGGACAACAAGAGTCCAGTTTTCCTGAGGGGAGGAGAGACTGAGAGTTCGGACCACTAGTAGGGACAAAAAAAGTTAAGCTATCTAATAGACAGCTGGAACACTGTGTGCTATTCAGAGAAGAAGATGAGCTGGAGGCAAATGTGGAAAGAAATTGCATAGATTTTAAGGAATTTGCCCTCCATCCTGCACCAAGGGCAAGCCAAGGTTTCAGAGCGCACAAGTTAGGACAATCTAGTAAGAAGTGTCAAGAAGGCACAGCTGATGGAGAAAACCAGGGAAGCTTTACATCCCTGACACAGATGGGAGAAGGTGTGTCAAGCACCACAGAGACTTAGAGCTGTCCACTGGATTTGACACTGCTGGTCAGTGGTGTTCAAGAAAATAGCCTCAACAGTGGAGGACTTTGGTGGAGGAAGGAGACACAGGAGGGGGAAGGAGGAGATCCTTCTTAATGCTGCAGTGTGCACATATTAGCAAACCTTTAAATCTCCTCCAGTCTTAATCATACCCCAAATCACGGCAGAACACCAGGGGCGGATGCCATCACTAAAGACAGTTTGATCGAAACTGCTTTAATAGTGTGTTCAGTGAACAAACAGTAAAAGGGCTTATGTTTACTAGTAGCAGTTACAAATTGCTTGTGATATCCACAACCAACCTCATAACAACTGGTCTCACCAGCAAGTTGAACACAGCTGTTCTGCACAAGTCCATGTCTCCATCAGTCCCTTTCTGCCTAAAAGCATGAGGAGAATCCTAGCTTCCATCCTAATCAGACATGGTACTTGAAGGAGCCATTGAACACCCAGCAAATATGCATCCTGCACGATTTGGGCTTCTGGGCCAACATGAAGAAAAGCATACACTGGAATTCATGCATGGTATGTCACAAAGACTATGGACAGGATGAATGCCAATAAAGGTCAAGTTTAAAAAACATATAAATGTATGTGGCCAAGAAAAAGCAAAAAGCAGCCAGTTATAGTTCTTACATGTATCAAATCCACAGGTTTAACATATGTACATATATGTCTACACCCACGCACACACATATTCACGAACATATATTCATGCACACACATAGCTGTAATATATTGTTTTTTCAGTTCTATTTGTGACTTTTATAAAAATAAACTGCCCTCCAGCACAGCAATACCAGGTCCCTTATAAATATTTATGGTGACATTTAGCTCTTCTGAAAGCAACCCCTTTTGCCATGTGACATACTGCTTCTCAGTGAAAGGAGGTCCCAGGTTGGCTTTTCAGCTCTGACATGACACATGGGCTGCAGCACATCTCCATGGGCAAGGGACTGCAGGACTTGCTCTCCAGCTCACTGCTGGTGGGCGAGGGCAGAAACGCCGTGTGCAGTCTTTATAAACAAAATCAGCTCTCTTGTGTTTGCTTTTAGACAATTCACTGGAGCAGTTAAAATAAAATGAGCATTTCCCCCATTGATTTGGTGTGCATTGAGCTAAATTACACTTGGAAAATTATAAACCAAATGAGCACGCAGGAGAGAGATCATATATGGGAATTTTCTGTATCTGCTGCTCAATGCTTCTGTCAACTGCTTTTAAAAAAAAAAAAAAGAAAAATCGTATTTTTTTCAGGTATGTGACAAATGGTTTGCATTTGTAGCAGAAGAATAATCAGAGCCAACTGCAGTTCTACCTCCAAGAAAGCCTAGCTATACCTTTATTCTATTTACCTACTCTCCACTGGGCATGGGATCAACATGTGACCCCCTACAGCTTAGGTCCCAAACATGAACTTAGGGCCAGCTGAGGAGCCACAGCAGCTGATGAATCTTGTGGAGTGACCTAGGAGTGTTTGCTGAAGTGGTGCCATGTTAAGATGGGTTTGTCCCCAGAGGCTCACGCACTGGAGGCCTGGTCCCCAGTACTGGTACTGAGAGGTAGTGGGACCTTCAAGGGTTGGGACCCAGTGGGAGGTGTTTAGTTATTGGGACACTTCTTTCAAGAGAGATTAATGCCCATCTCCTGGGAGTTGAGTGGCTACTTTGAGAGTGAGTTATTACCAAGTGAGGCACCCCTGTGTGTTTGGTCTCTTCCTCACACACACATATCTCTTTCCCACATGTGAGTCACCTGTGATATCATGATGCAGGCAGCACAGGACCCTGGCCAGATGTGGCTGCCTAAGCTTAGAGTTTCCAGTCTTCAAAACATGAGCTTAAGTAAACTTCTTTTCCTTATAGAGTATGCAGCCTCCAGGATTTTGTTATAGCAACACAAAAGAGACTAAGACAAGCAGTTACATTCAAAGGAATCATAGAGTGCAGGAAGGCAAAAGATAATAGCTTTGTTTGCTTTTTTGTCACAAAATATGCAGGTTCCCTACAGCTCTGAAATTTCAGAAATAAAAATAAATGAAATAAAAATCATCAGCTATCTAATCACCTTTAAAATAAATTCTTGAGATTTTGGTGTCTATTTTCTGCATTATTTTTTCTTTGAGTACATTTTGATGTTTTTTATCCTTTGGGTACATTTTTCCATAGTTAGGATGACACTGGATTTGCAGTTTAGATTTCTTCTTTGTTTTCATGTGTTATTATGTGACAAGCATTTTTCCCATAATATAATATATTCTTAAAAGTATAGATTTTAAGGGTTAGCTTGTCCCTAATCAGATGTTTTATAATGCATTGAATTCTGATCTCCTTTTTTGGACTACTTAGGAAGCTTTATGGGTTCTAATATTGCTAATTAGGTTGCAATAAATATTTTGATCATTGGT